CTCAGGACCCGGCCGTCCTCGCCTTGGGGGGGGTGGGAGGGGAAGAGCGCGCTGTGCCAGGAGCGGGGGGCCAGTCGGGGCCTGGGCTCCTCCCTGGGGGCTCGGGCGGTGGGCGCCGGGGAGGGGCGTTCATACGCAGCCACGGCCACAGCCACGGCCAAGGCCCACCGGGGCTCCCCGCTCACCTCCCGTCTCGCTCCTCCCGGCCCTCGGCTCAGCCGTCCACACGGTCCCTGCCCGAGCCCGTCCTGGCCCCTGGGCCCTCACCGTGCCTCTGGCTCTAGCTCAGCCTCTGGCCACGCACGGTGGGAGCAGACACGTCGAGGCCTGCCTCCCTCGTGGCCGGGTCACCCAGGGGACACTGCCCCTCACGACCCGTCTCCCACCCTGACCCAGGGCCCGGCCCGCCCCACCTGCCCACACCCCTGAGGCACCCACACAGGCCGGCCCCGTGGACTCGGGCTCAGGGTCGGGGGGAGCAGGAGAGTCGATGGCCACCACTGACCACCGCCAGGGGGGCCTGACGCCCAGCCTCCCGCGATGCCAAGATCTGGGAGAGACGCCGCCGGCCGACACGGGGAGGACTCTGACTTGGAAAGAACCGGAGCCGAGTGAGGGGAAACCGAGGGTGGTTTGACCGCCTTCCGCCTCGGGGCACGACGGAGTCACCATCCCGCTCGCCCTGCCCCTGCGGGCAGCCAGGAAGGCGGGTGCAGGCCAGTGAGACGGGGTTCCGGGGTCCCGGGCGCCAGGCAAGGACATGGTCCCTGAAGACGGGGGCTAACTGTGTGGCCCACGTGGCCCGGTCGCTGTCTCGGGGGACGTGGGCGCCGAGAGGGCCCCTGGGCAGGGAACTCCCTCCGGGAAGGACACAGTGAAAGCGAAAGTGAATTCCGGACGTTTCCCGGGAGGAAAGCTGTAAGGATTCATCGCCAGGAAACCCGTGCGACAAGAACCAGTGACGTGAGGTCCTCCGGGCAGGAGGCAAGGGCGCCGGGTGGGAACCGGGAGGAATGAGCAGAACCAGAAAGGGAACCGGTGGCTGAAGAGAGGGAGTCCTCTTCCTGCTTGTGAGACTCTGAAGGTAAATGAATCGCAGCAAAGCCTCACGAAGTGTGTGGATGCGTGAGTGTGACTGTGATCATGTAAAGATGGGGGTAGAGAGAGAGCAGGGAACCGCGTGGTTCCCATACACGAAGAGTGTGGTGTTGCCTGGAAGTGGACTGATACGTTAAAGATGTGCATCACCAACCTCAAGCCCCTAAAATAAGAAAACAGAGTGACAAATGCTAAGCCAATGACGGAGGAGATACAATGGGTCAATAAAAAAAAAAAATCTAATCCAAGAAAACAGGAATAAGGTGTAAAGAAGGGAAAGACAGCTGAGGAAATGGAAAATGAATAGTGAAATGGTAAGTCCCCATCTGTTACGTCAAAATTATATTAAACACGAACGGTATAAACACACCAGTTAAAAGGCAGAGATGGTCCGATTGGATACAAAAGCAGGACCCAACTGCACGCTGCCTACAGAGACCGCACTTTAAACGTAAAGACCCAAACAGGTCCCAGCTCAAGGGCAGAGACGGTAACACCAGTCAAGGGAAAGCCCCGACGTTAACATCACGGGGCGTGGACGGCAGAGTGAAGGCCACCACAGGGCTAAAAGGAAGGTGATGTCACAATGATAAGGGGTCGATTCATTAAATGGCACAAACCCTAAATGTTTGTGCTCCTGTTAACAGAGCCTCAAAATAATGAAGCAAAAGTTGACAGAAATGAAAGCAGAAATAGACACACCCACAATTATAGTCAGAGATTCCAATACACGACTCTCCATCACGGATAGAACAGGCAGACGGAAAGTCAGCAAGGATGTGGCAAACTTGAGCAACAAAATCAACAAAACACGCGGGGTTGACTTTTATAGAATACTAGAGGCCCGGTGCATGAAAATTTGTGCACTGGGGGGGGAGGGGTGTCCCGGCCTGCCCCCTCTCACAGTCCGGGAGCCCTTAAGGGATGTCCTACTGATGGCTCCCTGTGGGGAGCGGGCCTAAGCCGCAGTCTGGCTTCCCTCTGCGGGAGGCGACCTTCTGATCAGGGGAAGGCACCGCCCCCATCACGCCTCTGCTGCTGCCACTGCCAGCTGTGAGGCTGCCTGAGCCTTGGCCCTCGCAGCCACTGCAGCTTGCCTGAGCCTCGGGCCGGCCCTGGGCAGCGGTAGCTGCCATCCGCTCCCCCGATGCACCTCCTGGTCAAGTCCCCGCCCACCCACGCGCGCCTGCTGTGCACGCAGCCTCCTGGTGATCACTCGTTGCGGCATGAGGGCGTCACGGTGTGAGGGTGTGACGACCACATAGGCTTTTATTAGTATAGATTCCAAACAAAAGAGCAGAATCCACACTCTCCTCAATGTGCTCACAAAACATGTCCCAAAACAGACCATATTCTGGGCCATAAAACAAGTCTTGATAAAGTGAAAAGGATTCAGGGTATACAAAATACGACCCTCACCACATGGAGGGAAATTAGAAATTATTAACAGAAAGCTCTCTGGAAAATCTCCAAATATTTGGAAATGAAACAACACCCTTCTAACTTACTCATGGTTCAATGAGAAATCAGGAAATATCTTGAATTGAATGAAAATGGAAGCACGACATATGAAATCTGTGGGATGCAGCTAAAGCCGTGCCCAGAGGGAAATTCATAGCAATAAACTCCTATACTAGAAAAGGTCTGAAATAACCTTAGTTCCCACCTGAAGAACTAGAGAAAGGACATTAAGTTAAACCCAAAGTAAGGAGAAGCAAGGAATAAGACCAAAATAGGAACTAATAAAATAGACAGCAGAAAGCAAAGGGTTGGTTGTTTATCAATGAAATTGATAACCTCCAGCCCGAGGAGTCAGGAAGAGAAGAAAAAAGACACACTGATCCACAGTGGGAACCAGCGGCGCCATCACTGCGTTCAGGGGAGAAGGGGCACGAACGGGCTTAGGCGAGAAGGCTGGCAACGTCGACGAAACGGACAGCTGCTCAAGAAGAAAGATGGCCGAAGGGGCCCTGTGTTGCGGGTTACGTTCGATGCCACCCACGCCCTCAGGATGGCGCCTGTGGACACCACGTGTGGCCGGGTGGAGCCAGCCCTCAGGCCCTGTCGGTGGCACCGGAGACCCGGGCTGCCTCTCGGGAAAACACTCCGGCGGTTTCTTGAAAGTTCAAGCACAGACGTGCCGTGCGCTCCAGCGATCCTGCCCACGGGTACATCATTGAAAACACACGCTCACACGAAAGCTGGGCAGGAGCACTCACAGCAGCCGAACACGCCAGCCGTCCCTGGGCGGGCGACAGGCGTGGTGTGTGGGCGCCACGGAAGACCACTGGGCAGGAGAGGAAGGAGGCCCACACGCGTGGCAACGCGGCGACCCCGGAAGCTCGGTGTGAGTGGACACAGCTGAGCCGAGACGCACCCCACAGGTCACACAGGAAAGCCCAGAGGAGGCAAATCCACAGAGCGAGGTGGGGTGGGGTTGGGGGGCTCGGGCTGTGTGGGGCTGAGGGTGTGGACGGGGTGGAGGGGCCTTTCTGGGTGAAGGGAAGGGTCTGGGTCGGCACTGTGGTGTGGTGACGGTTGTCTGACTGCAAATTTACTAAAATTTACTAAAAATCGTGGCGTCGCTGATGCAGATGGATTTGATGGTATGTAAATGATGCCACAATAAAGTTGTTAAATAAGCCAATTGTGACTAAATACGTTTGGTGCCTGCTACACCTCGCGGCGTCCTGATGAACGCCTGTGGAGCTTGGCCGGTGTGGCTCAGTGGCTGAGCATCGACCAATGAACCAGGAGGTCAGGGTTTGATTCCCAGTCAGGGCACATGCCCAGGTTGTGGGCTCGATCTCCAGTGTGGGGGGTGCAGGAGGCAGCTGATCCATGATTCTCTCTCATCATTGATGTTTCTCTCTCTCTCCCTTCCTCCCTGAAATCAGTCTATATATATAAAAGCCTAAGCAACCATCTGACCTTTCGACTGTCCGACCGGTAGCTATGACGCACACTGACCACCAGGGGGCAGACGCTCAACGCAGGAGCTGCCGAGCTGCGGTGACTTGGCAGCTGTGGTTCTTGGGGCGGGGGGCGAAGCTTGTTGAGCTAAGGCAAGTGTGACATCAGGAATCCTGTGTGGTTATTAACGGGTCCTGCTCCCCCCCCCCCACCGCGGTGTCTCAGGTGGCCGGGGGGAGGGGGGCCCTCTGTGGGAAGTTGGCCTGTCCCTCCCCGGCCTCACCACTGGGCTGACCGTCCCAGGAAGAGCAGCAGGACGGGCGGTGCGGGGGGAAGTGGCCTGATTCCCTCCCAGGCCGAGGCCTTCCTCCCCTCCTGGCCGGACCGGGCTACGCAGACGCACCCGGTGCTGCACCATCACCGTCCCCTCCCTCTGTGAGTGTGTGTGACCACCGCACACGGGCATGCACAGCACACATGCTCACACGAGCTCACACGAGCTCACACACATGCTCACACGAGCTCACACCACATGCTCACATGAGCTCACACACATGTGCACACGAGCTCACACAAGCTCATACACACGCTCACACAAATGCTCACATGAGCTCACACAAGCTCACACACATGTGCACACGAGCTCACACACATGCTCACACAAATGCTCACACGAGCTCACACACATGCGCACACAAGCTCACACATGCCCACACGAGCTCACACACAAGCTCACACACATGCTCACACGAGCTCACACACGTGCCCACACGAGCTCACACACATGCGCACACATACACACATGCGCACACGCGGCTTCTTGCTTACTGGTGGCCACCGCCCCGTTGTCCTGCAGCAGCTGCACGCGCACCGTGAAGCAGGCGCCCCGGGCGACGTCCATCACCTCCGGGCCCAGAACCACGGTCCTCACGGCTCGGCCTGGGAGAGAGCAGAGGCGCGTCCTGGGTGCCGGTGCCACCTGCCCGCGGTGCCCGAGGCCAGAGCCCCAGGTGTGGGGCCGCCCCCGCAGGCCCTCTCCCCTAAGGGGTGCGACCCCGTTGGCACCCGGAGGGGCTCCGCCTGCCGGCCACACGCAGATGCAGAGGCTGAAGCCCCTGACTGGCTGCCTGGGGGGCGGAGGGGGGGGCGGGCGAGGTGTCCCTAAGGCGGCGTCGCTGAGACGTTTGGTGTTTATTTGTTTGTGTGTTTTCTCGGCCGTGATTCTTTGAAGCAGCTCATTCAGAACCATCGGCTTCTACCAAATGGGCCGCAGGGTGTCGCCAAGTGCTGGGGGGGAGTGGGCTGCAGGGTCTGGGCGCACACGCTGGACCGGCCCCACGTCCCCCTCCTGCCTGGACCCCTGCGCCTGAGGGCGGCTTGGTGGGCGGGTCCCCTGCACGAGGACCCTCTGGGGTCTGCCCCCCAAGAGTGACGGCCTTGCGCACATCCCGACGGGGCGCTGGGCTTCGGGCCGGGACCGGGCGGAGCGGGGCTGGGAGCTCATGGAGGCGCTGGGAGGATGGAGGGCAGGGCCCGGGGTGGCAGGCCTTCTGGGTGTGCCCAGCAGGGGAACTAACCCAGAGCCCACTTGGCGGGGGAGTCGGGGGGCCACCAGCCCGGGACCCCGTCGGGGGAGGTGAGGCTGCGTCACACCCAGGGGTTCGGACAGGACCCCAAATTTGGGGCGGGGGCCCGGGATTCCTTCCCGAGGTGACCTGACTAAGGAGCTTAAGGGGCCCCCCCAGGGCCAGGCTCCGCTGGGAGGCTCCATTGAGGGGGGCGCCTGAGTTTGGCCCCCAGACTTGCACCCCAGGGTCCACCCTCCCCCCCAGGCCCCAGCCGAGGAGCCTGCTCTGGCTCAGCAGTGCCCCCGTGGCCTCTCCCCGCCCGGAAGCCCCAGGGCCCCCGAGGGGTGGGGGTCACCCTCGTCCTGTTGGGGCCACTTTAATGCTCGGGGGGCAGCATGGAGAGGAGGCAGCCCCCAGAGGAGGCCCCTGCAGGCCACTGGCCACCTGTGCTCATGTCACGTGCGGAGCTCAGGTGGGACCGGACGGAGGCTGTGGGTGCAGATGCTCAGGGCCCGTGGGTGGGGGACCCCGGGATCGGGTGCAAAGCCTGATGGGCCTCGCAGGTCACGAGCGCTGGGAGCCACGTGGAGCGTGTTCTAGGGGGGTTCTAGCTCCCCACTTCATCCCGGGCCCCCAGCACCTCCCAGTGACTGGCCAGGGCCCCCCGAGAAAACGCAGCCAGACTCGGCGAGACCAGGAGGGGGGCGGGGGACACCTACCCACCGGGTGGCCGTTGATCCACATCCCCCTGTAGACGAGCCCGGAGCAGTGGGCCATGCTGCCCAGGCCGCTGCGGACGTCACTGTGCCACTGTCCCTGCGGGAGCAGCCGGTGAGAGGGCAGCGCTGTCAGGGGGGTGAGCCCCTCGGGCGGCCACAGAGGACGCGTGTTCCCGTGAAGTCGGACCCTGCGCGCTGCGGGCAAGACCATCACCGGGGCCTGTGGGACCACGGGCTGCACGACCCCCCCTCACAGGGGCTCCTCTCTCCCGCGAGGGCCTGCGGGACCCGGGTCTGCAGCCAGGACACCGAGCAGACACCCCTCCTCGCTCCCGACAAGGCTGCAGCGGGGTCCGGGGTCCCCAGGCCACGTCCCGCCCTGGTGACAACTTGGAGCTGCGGCGTGGGCAGGGCTGGGCTGCCCCCTGGTGGCGAGTGGACGAGCGGCGGGC